ATATATATTTACACGTATTCATTTTACACCCAAGAAATAAACGCCTCCTAAGAAACCCTTCTCAACAATAAACACCCCGGGGCGGTTATTCGAATAAATACGGTAAATACAGTAAAAAGTATTTCTTATACAGGTAGTTAACATGCTGAATGACCTCTATACATGCTTTGACGCAATCATTGCCAACTACGACGTTTACAAGGTAGAGACTATTGGTGATGCATACATGTTGGCATCGGGTCTTCCTGTCCGCAATGGCAAGCGCCATGCCGGCCAAATAGCCTCAACAGCATGGCATTTACTACAGTCTATTACTGAATTTCGAGTCCGGCATCGACCAGACCAAGTACTGAAGCTCCGGATAGGAATACATTCTGGTATTTACTGTTCTTGTAATTTTCTTTTTATGTGTGTCTTTATTCTATTGTTTCCATTACTTTAACTCGAAGTTATATAAAGATACTCCCACTAAAACAATTACAAACCTCACAAATATGAAACTTTGGAGCGCTCAGCTCACATTAAAAATTACACATTTTTGAAAAAAAAAAAAAAGAATCTGTTTTCATTGACTTTCAGTTTTATTTATTAGAATTATGTGACCGTATAATTCATTTTATTCTATTCTAGTCTAGTGTACCATTACACTACCATCAATGGATTGATAAAATAAGCACTAATGCTTACAAAGGAAAACACATAAGCCTAAACCCCATGGCTAGAAGTATCAAATTTAGGTACTGCAGTTTAATGTGATAATCCAATAGTAATTCAACATTAATAATAGGGCCTGTGACAGTGATTCTTTATTTATTTAATATTTATTTATTTGTATAATGAGATTATCCTTGTAAGATTAATAGATTCTTCAAAACTCTGTCGTCTGCCCGACTGATCTAGCTAGATTAAGTACGACATTAAAGGATTTTACAGTACAAGGAAACTGTCACACAGCACGGATAACAATAACACAGTGAGTCACAGCGGCAGTGTATAATCAAAGGCTCTCGTCATGATTTACTTTTAAGGCAATTAAAAAGAAAACCTAAGTAAAGGCTATTAAGTTTATGCTAGTTTATCCGTATAATTCTGTGATTTATGAATTGGAATAGTTATTTTATTAAAATGCAATATAGTTGTGCTTGACTTTTAAGGGTTGAATTCGAGTGCACAAATAAGTACCTTATTCCCATACCATAGCAGTACTGGCGTCAATTGGGGGGGGGGGAACTGGGCACGGATCCTCTATTCGGGAGAGCTCCCCCACCCCTCCCTGTCGTGGAGAAGAAACACAATTCGGGGAGAAAAAAAAATCTGTTTAACCTTTCGGAATGCGAGACTCGAAAAATCGATTACATAAGCATTTCACATCCTTAAAATTTCGGAGTTTCCAAGGTCCTTGCCCCTGGGCCCCGCGCACTTACGCTCCCATCGGGAACAACACACCACCAACCCCCACCGTTGGGCAAATCCCGGCGCTACCATTGTGAATGAGTCTGCAAGTAGTTTTACTTTGTATAGGCCTATACATTTAAGTTTATTTTTCTTATATTTGGATGCACTGTTGGGTATTGTCCAACGTGTGCACTGTTAAGAATGTTTATCCATTAAATTGAAATTGAAGTACTGCAAGCAGTAAGGTGTAAGCGAATTATGCATTATGATATTCGTTTATTATTATACAGTATATTGATTTTACTTGTGCCTGTATGTTCCAGAGACTAGAAAGTAGTCTTGCAACCTTGTGTAGTAATTCAAAGATAAACCGATATTTGGTTGAATTAAACTCACTATAGTTTCATCCAACATGCATTGTTAATCTACTAATAATACGTAATCTATATTTGTGTAGTTTAATTTCGACACATTATTCGTTCTGTTAGGTTGTTCATGTATTTATCCATAAGACAACCATTACGTGGGATGAAGTCAAATCAATATGAAAAATCATTGACAGTTAAAAATAGCTTGTACTGTATATTGATGTTTTCATAAACTGCAGTACAGTGTATTATGATTCTAAATTAATATTTTTTTTTTATCTTATACGTACTGTAGGCCCGTGTGTTGCTGGTGTTGTTGGGTTGACAATGCCACGATATTGCCTTTTTGGAGATACCATCAACACCGCTTCTAGAATGGAATCAAACAGTCTGGGTATTTATCTCAATTCAAAGAGTCTCCATGATAACACCTCCAATATTATTATATAGGCGTTCAATTTCGGGCCCCAAATGAACGCCTATATTTATACACAGTCTCCTGATGAAGTCCGCTGTGTGGAAGAAAAAGCTAGAGAATATTTTATACAATTTAGTCTTACCAGTGCTGTTGTTATTTCTTATATTTATCTTTATACAGTAACAATTTTATTAGTCTAGATCAAAGCTGTTAAAGCCATGACAATCCCAGTCTGAAAGATTAACTGGAGGGAGACCTATACTACTGTATAATTCAGAAACCATTAACATATCAACCAATTATTCATGCTTATGAGTCTAGAAAACATATATTAATTATTTAATCAACACTTCTCCATTCTATTCTTATTAAAACAATAATTTTGTATCCACTTTCCAGCTTTGAAAATTCATGTGAGTGAAGAAACCAAGAAAATCTTAAGTGACCTAGGGGGTTATGAGTTACAGCAAAGAGGATTAATTGCAATGAAGGTATGGTAAACAACACTAAGCTAGGGGGTTATGATTTCAATTATTGTGAGTGGTATGGTTAATGACTTTTGAGGAGGTTTTTTTTAATGATTAATGGTAAATGCATCTATAATGTTACTGTACACTATGAGGAATAATGAGAAACACGATTATCAATTAGAAACACAACAGGAACGTAATAATAGTATGAATACTGTAATAAGATTTTTATGGCGCTACTATCCATATCAAAGAAATGCTTTAAGTCGTTTAAAAGAAAACTGCCAAAGGTTATTAAACAAGAGTTGGTACAAAAGGACATGTTATTAAAATTACTCTACAATTTTGTCAAATGTATGCATTACATTTTTCACATCATTTTATAGATAAGATACTCAAAAATAAATAAATAAATAAATAAATGTGTCAATATACAAGACATTTCAATAAATATAGTTCTTAAAATCGCGATTTTAATTTATTGTATATTTCAGGGGAAAGGTGACGTAATGACTTACTGGTTAGTCGGACAAGATCCCAAATATATGATAGAAGATATCAAACCAGTAAAACAAGACAAGAGAGATGATAGCACAGACAGTCTGAGTGATTGATTGACTGCAAGCCAGAGCAACAAGAAAAAATAACAGCATAAATTATCTAACTGGATCTTCAAACATCTTTAATAAGATTAAGAGACAGAGAGAACTAATACAAGTATTCCATTAAATACAGAATTCTAAGACAACTTATACTGCACACAAGGTTCAGGAAGGTGATATTGTTCTTGAATAAATAACTTAAAATATTAGGTTCTTTCAAGTACAGTATGTTGGAGTATGAATAAAATATGTAATTGCACTAACACATCTAGGAACAATCTAATGATTGTCTGCCTTAGGCCTACTCCCTGTAGCATTAATAAATAATTAAAATAGTTTTAGACTTTTAAATGCATGATGTACAATGAAATTTACAAGTATTTTGATTGGCTTTTCTGTTAATATTATGAGAACATAAGATATCAAACTTGTAGAGGGAAAATTAAGGAGTTTTTACATAAATGGAAGAGATGCTTCTTGAATATGAATAAAATGTTTAAAATTGATATCAATTTTTTGATTATTATTTTATAACATTATTTATAACATGATTAATTTTAACTAAAATATTTTTTCAAGAAATGTCTGGATTCAATAACTACATATTCTGGAATCTAGGTTATAAAAATACAATGCTTCTTTATATTGGCGTTTATTTATTAATGCAGCATAATATATTCCACATTTGGATAGCAAAAGGCCATATTAAGGTGTATTCTGCCTCTTCGGATTTATGAGATGTTTGTGTAAGAAAAAATTAATATATATTCGACATCTACAGTATGTCAATTCTTTACACGAGACATACTAAACAACATATACAAATCAATACTAAATATGTGGAAAAAGGGAGTTTAAATATATACATGCATAAAAGTAATTCTATTTTATAATTTTTTTTTAAATAGTTTAACCCCCCCCCCCATTATAGTCTTGTTTCTGGTGCTTTTGCATCATTGATATATATACCAATCTCCCAATATAAGTACCTTCTGCCTTTGCTTGAAAATAAATTCCCCTCCTCCGCTGATTTTTTGTCAGCTGTTACACTCAGTTGTGAGTTGCTAGCTTGTTGGGTTATTGCTTCAACCTCATCTTGATTGCTGACCTGCTCCAGGCCCAATTCGACATGGCTACAATCACGCTCATCTTCTGCATTCCCTCCACACATTCTAATATTATCACTTGGGTGCAGACAGCGATAGTAAAAGAGCATGACAATAATACCAAAGAAAAATCCACCCCAAACAAAGACCAAAGCAGGCAAACCATACATAAGTTTCCGACCACCATAATAGTACCACAAGGCAAACATTACTGAATTTTCTATAAACATAATAATGTAAAATGATAGCATCCTATATCTGGTCTGTCCCTCCTTCATATTAAAGTATGAGAACATGTATATAATACCTATGACAATATCAAATAAAATTTCTTCGAATCGTGTCGGACAGAAATCGGTCTTCTGATGGACAAGCCAGACGGTCATGTAAACCCAATGGACACCGACTACGATGAATACACCCCATCCATACTCGGAAGCAAACAAGGCAAGGGAAATCACACGAGACGCCACCACAAACAATCTCCATACTATACGTACAGCAAGGGCAACGTAGCCCACATTCTGTTTGTCACTGCGGGATTCCCGTAGAGCTTTATGATAGGCCTCCAACGCCCACGCTAATGAAGCGAGCGACACACAAGCTGAAGTAGCTGTAAAAAAAACAATAAAATATAGGTCATCACTTTACCAAATTTATGATATACTGTAGAGAAATTTCTTTTTCGGCTACAGTATTGAGTCGCACAACAAAAATAATACTACCAAATAATGTATTTATTTGAATAAATGCCTCTGGGCATTTACTGTTGAGAAGATTTTGTGAGGGGGCGTTTATTCGATGGAGGCATTTATTGTGGGAGGCATTTTTTTTTTTTTTTTTGTAAAATGGATGTTTACTCAAATAAATGCCCCTTTACTTCACTTTAAATGTGGAACTACAACACATTACTGCCAAAATGTGTTATTGTCCCTGTATGATGATAAAAAGATTATTGATCCCAACCAGGTTAGAAAAAAATGTAATTCTACTGGAGTAGAACATTAATAAAATGTGTTGAGAATGATGTTGCTTCTTTAATTTAAGTTTTGTTTACAGTCAATTAGGGGGGCATTTATTCAAGTAAAAAAAGACATACTGTTTATTCTAAATGAGGTGTTTATTTAGGGTGGGGAGCATTTATTTAAAGCGGGGCGTTTATTCAAATAAATACGGTAATGTATAAAGAATTTAACTGACAAAACAAAAAGATCATATCAATGATCACACTCTGATACTGTACTAATGCACAATCCTATTTATATGTACCAATAATAATGCTCAATAATAATGATATATGTGGCAAAGACAAGCCAAACCAGTCACTCGTCGGAAAAA